CTGGATGCTGTTCAGCCAAATGACTATTTCAATATTAGTCTAAATACTAGAACTCGTGGCCATAAGTGGAAATTAGCGGGAGAACATTTTAAAACAAATTTGAGGAAGCACTTCTTTACACAGCGTGTAGTTAGAGTATGGAATAGTCTTCCTGCTAGTGTAGCGGAAGTTAAAACCCTGGGTTCCTTTAAATCAGAGCTAGAAAAGATTTTAACAACTCTGAGCTAATAGTTAAGTTCTCCCGAAATGAGCTTGATGGGCTGAATGGCTTCCTCTCGTTTGTAAATTTCTTATGTTCTTACTTTACAATAACTGTGCGCGAGGCAGTAATGAAATCTGAACACAAGTGGTCAATATTCAAGTCTAGACTAAAAACACACCTGTATAGTTTAGCTTATAGAGAAACTAGTTCTAGCTCTAGCTAACTGCTCACTCCCAGTTAGACCTATAGTGTGAGGTGTAGAGCTGGGTGGGGATCGGTGCCACTGGCTTTGGATGAACTGAACTGTCAGTCTGTCACTCTAGCTTAGCAATCCTTTGTGGAAATGGAGCGCTGACATTTCAGGGACCCCCCCATGCCTGTGTTTCTGCCTGCCTCGCCCTCCTACTTACTCTGCCATAGCCTTATCTGCCGGAGCTTACAAATTGCACTTACCTAAACGTTTGTACTGCCTCTAGTCTCCCCTACTTTGGCTAATTGCTTATTTTATTTCCCCTACTCCTCCCGAGCTGTGCTGCCTGGAGACCCCAAATTTTCAAGATATCCTGCCTACCCGGCTGCCTGCGACGCCGCACTATACAAATAAAATTGAATTGAACTGGTCAGCTGGACACCTTGGACGCATGATAAACACGGGCGTAAACGGCAATGTGTCACGGCCGTCTGCCTGTGATTTGATTGTCCAAGACGCATTTTAAAACCAAGTGTAAACGGAGCCAAGGTGTCTTTTGAAGACTTTACAATTCCAAGCGCATTGAACGGTTTTACTCTTTGCTCCTCGTATTGCATTTCAAAGCAATGACTGACGGGAAACTGGAGATGAGAAAGGGAAATTTGAGGGAACCTTCTCTTTCACCAGATTACAAAAATATAGTAACGCGATCTTTATAACCCGGTAGAAGACAACCCTGTGGTGCTGATGCTGAAAAAGGCTGTGTGCAAAGCAAGTGCGCAATTCATCAGATGAATGTTGCTTCAAGTTAAACCTTGGTTGATGATGGTTCGCTGCAGTCTTTAGTTTTGCCTCATCATGAATGAAATATTTGCTTAATCGAGCTAGAAATGCATTATACATAATACATCCGTGAGGGGCGGACAGTTTACAGGGGTATGACGGCACGGGCTACTGGACAGCGGGTCACGTTCCGTGCGGCTTCCCGTCTGATGTGCGCCGTTACCAGCCGCTGCAGGAGACGCCGCTCGGGTAAATGGGGCGACTGCGTGCCGGCTTGTACTTCTCACGGGATATCAACGGTAAATGGAGCGGTCCTGATCCGCACAGGTTGTACCGAAAGGACTAAGCCAACGAGAATAATATCACAGGCATTACAACACTTTCTGAAACACCACATGATGTTTCCCATTCCCTGTTAAACGTCTTCCATAAATAGATCACCTTATCATATTGGCCTCTATGATTTTAAACCTATAATTTTCCACCTGCTAAAATCCACCTTTTCATTATCAGCTTGGGCTGTCAGAAATATAAGTTTAAAATATTCTGAAAGATCAGGATTGATTTTCAGTGTTTTAACTCTTTCTAGTAGCAGTTGCCGCGGGTAAGTGTATCTTTATATGCGTGTTTACACGCTTGGTTATTGCCAGGCCATTCCGGGCAAACAGCTCACTGACGTAGCGGGTAACATCTACCGCTTTGGAGCGGAAGAAACACGGCCAATAGAGCTACTGATGGGGGTCAGATTGTCTGCCCGGGGCCAAAAGGGACCCCTGTACCTCCAGCAAACACCCAGGCGAGTCCCTGTGCAGCTGGGATCCCCCGCCCGGCTGTCCACCCTACATCAACGTGTCACCAAGCTGCTTGGGTTCTCTCACCCAGCCGAGGCTATCAGCAGACAGGAATTATTAAAAGGTGCAAAACCTTTTAATACAACGCAGCAGTTTGCTGCGCTTAAATAGTATGACTTTGCAAGAACTCAGAAGAATAAAACATCAAGGAAAAAGTTAACGACAGCAAGCTATTCCTGACCTGCTCATACTGTTCGACCCCCTTTGATACAGCACCAAAGACATTAAAAAGCACAATACCGTAATAACTTTTCAGCGCAAGCCAGTTGCTTGCATCCCATTATATGTCTTTTTAGGGGCGTATAAGGTAAACGGAAAGCTTAACGGACATAATTATCTCAGTGTTGCATTTGAACGAAAATGTTGACAGTTGCTTAATGAAAAGTGGAATTGAGTGTAGCCGTATAATACAGGTAGGGCCTGATAAATCAATAAATCAGCAAAAGTCCGCCCGCAGAAAAATATTATGAGATGCAGAAAAAGTGTTTTGTAACTGGCAATCCACAAACTGGTGCAGGCTGGGAATTGTTCCCCTACCGCATGAAGAATCAGTACATTATACCATACGTATTATTAAAGGTCTAGGCGTAGACGTGCATATAACCGGAATTGTTCAATATGATCAATTACTCACTATCCGAAGGCATTATAAAAATGCTGTCGCCGGGCGTCCCTGGAGAATTAGACCGTCGTGGCAGCAGTGTCAGCGGGGCTTGCCCAGCCTATTTCCCTTTGCAGTGACAGCGGCGGCTGACAGGATGCTGAGGGATCGCCGCACTGTGCGCTCCGCTCCCCCCCGCTCCGCGCCCCCCCGATCCTCATTCGCTGCGACCCGGCAGCGGCGCTCTGCGCTAACGCGGTGCCTCCAGCCGGCGCCCCCTCCTGCATCGCCGTGACCCGCAGCGCGGGCAAGAAATGAAAGCTTCAGTCAAGCCCAGCTCTAATTAGTTACTGCAGTGTGTAGTTTGATACTATTTGCACCACGGCATACTGATTTCTTAAACAGAAATAATTCAACATGTTACAATATTTTACAAAAGTATACCACGCAAAAAATAATACATCCTGCGCTAGTCCAATCCTGCAAACTGGTCCCTGCAAGAAGATGTGTATATAAATTATTCAGCTATGATTATTCAGACGAGTAATCAAATTCTTTCTCGAATGCTCCAAAGCAGCTTAATTCCTTCAAGTTCAGAATCAAAATGCGTTATGGTAAAATAGAATGGATTTCATTCATGCATAGGACACGGGCGATTTGTGATGGAGTGTCTCCGGCCGGTATAAACGTGATAAACGGGGCCATATTTTGCAATTTCATGTGGTCTGCATCTTTTCGCCATGACTGAATCCATCATATGCATGCAATTAACCAGTGAGATTCTAACAGCTTGTCAGCTCTCCGATCAACCGTTTCAATAACAATTACTTTAAATACAAAAAAGTTTTAATCTCCCAAAAAGGCAACACATTGCGTTATTCTTACAGTTGAATGTAAAATGGGCAATGATTACTGTATAAGCTTACATTGCCATCTTGTGGATAAAAGGAAAATTTCTCTAAGAACTTGCTGACTTTGATTTTTGTAATCGCATACTACACCGTAAATCAGCATATAATGGTGGAGGACTCGGGCACAGATTCATTAGTGAGTAAATGTTATACGAGGTGAGTGCACCTCACTCCCATGAATCCGCCGACAAGATCCAGCAATCTGTCTCTCTCTCTTATACACACGCGCAGAGTATTGCTACAGTATAAGCCACTACACCTAAATCAGCCAAAACTCTTATTTTAGTGCTGTGTGCAATAGATGGTGATTAAATCATAGTCTACCAGGTAAGAGGAAAGCTGCTAAGCAGAAAAATGGATGGACAGATGTACTTTACTGATGGCAGGAGGAATAGGCAGGCACGTGTTGCGCAGACGCGGCGGGAACGCAGCAGGAGCTGGTTAAAGCCAGGCATCTTCGCGAAATCCAGGCTCATCGGGAAGGAACTGGAAACAGGAAGAGCAGCTCAGACCCGCTGAGGCAGGCAGGCCTTCTGGCGAATGACTCACTGATAAACAAGAAACCGCCTGTGACAGGGCGCGGGAGGGTGTTTTTTTTTTAACGACGGCTGACGCAAGACGCGGCGCGCCTTTTACACGTAGCCAATCATGAGTGGAGACGGAAAGGGGATCCAGAGCGAGACTCCGCCGCGCGCCTTACGTGTAATTCCCATTTTCATTGACACAAAGAACTCCAGGCAGACTGGTCCGCACTCAGATGTTTACTGATGTAAATGAAACTTTACATTTATTTTGTTAGGAGATGCAACTGACAGAATTAACCAAGATAACAGCTTTGTACAGAAGACTTTACGTACACTGTCAGAAAAAAGGGTAGAGCCCTGATACAGTTTTGTTCAATAATAAGATGGATAAAAAGTACATTTACTTACAGCTTGGATACAGTTGACAGACACTTGAGCAGAGGTGGGCAATCTTATCCACAAAGGACCGGTGTGTGTGCGAGTTTTCGCTGCAACTTCCTAATTAGATCAATAATTAGAGGACTGATTGGCTGAAGAGTCCTCACACCTGGGTTTGAACAGCTGACCTACAGGTTATCCCAAAAACCTGCACACACACTCGACCTTTGCGGGTAAGACTGCCCACCCCTGCCCTTGAGGGTACAGCACCAGTCACAAATAATTGTACCCTCTAAGGTACACGCTACTTTCTGTCTGACAGTGTATAAAGGCCGAGTAGAAATAGTATATTTTGCTGTGATATAATGTAAGCACCATTGCGAAAACCAGACAAGAGAAACGGAAAGAGCAGCCGGTTACGACAGTTACAGAGCACAGGTCTGACAAACTTCCGTAATCCTCAGCTGCGTGGACTGAAAGTATCGGCAGGTTTTAGTCAGACAATTTTCTTAAAAATCTTCCCATAATTAAACAATAAATCTGTGTCACATGATATAACCCAACAACCCAGTAACATCTATTACTGATTTATACTGATGGTGTTTTATATGTGAGCCCCCTTAGTCGGTGTGGTGGTGAATACACACGCAAGACCGTTCCCAGTGGACACTCGTGAGCCACATGATACATATGCAGGCTGATACATGTCCTACTGCACTACTAGACAGAAAAAGGTGGGAATAAGTGTTTAAATCCGTTATTAAAAGTATGCTTAAAAATGCTTGTATGCTGCATGAACTGCTGGTATTTTGGTTTAAGGAAAATACAGAACATGTGACTGGATTCAACAGTTTGGTACTGTGGCACTAGCCACGGATGGCATAATCACTGGTGTCTCTGGAAGAGCAAAACAAAGCTCACAGCAGCCATTGGCAGCAGTGATACCCCCACACCCCTCATCATGTCCCAGTGCTCAGGGTAAGCCCCCCCAGCCGCACGGTTGCCATGGCAGCTGGACAGGAAGTACCCACTTAAGGTGCGAGAATTCGGGTTTTAAAAAAATAACAGGATATTAAAATATAAATATGGGGAGAGGGAGCCAGAGGTGGTGTCGGGGGTGGGGGCAGCCGGGCAGCACTCAGTTGCCGTGGTCCAGCGCCCGCAGGAGTTCCTCGCCTTGCAGCAGGTGCTGGCGGCTGAGCACCGGCACGTTGACCTCGCAGTCGTAGCGTGTCAGCTCAGGCAGCCCGCTGCTCAGGAAGCAGCCTGCCGTGTCTGCGGAGGGAAGCGACACGCCGGTCAGCAAGCTGCACTGCACTGTACTGTCGAGGTGGCGCGAGGCTGCGTGACCCACCTGACGGCAGGAGCAGGACCGTCTTGTGCAGGGGAAGCGCCGCTGCGGTGGGTTCCAGGCCTCGCACCTTCTTCCCCGACTCTCCAGCGTCCAGCGATTCCTGGAGAAAAGAGATGACAAAGAAGTAAACAAACCCAGTTCACGTTAATCAGAACCGAGAGAGGAAAACTGCAGGGTGAGATCTGAAACGTGGGTGGACGGGCAGATCGGGGGCAGGTCGTGCTCACCAATGAGGCGGGCTGGGGCAAAGCCATCACCTCGTGCAGCTTCCTCTTGCGCTGGCTGTTGCGGAGGGCCAGCATTTTGGGGGAGAGCTCCATGCCTGGCGGTGGTGCCCTGGAACGCGAGACATGACTAAGAAGAGCTGCTCCAGAGCCCATGGTGGATTCTGTGCTGCATCCAGGCAGCGGGGTTGAGGCGGGCCCCGGCACTCACCTCGGGCCGAGCGGGTCAGCACCATGCCGGGGGTCGGCAGCGGGCGAGCAGGGGGCGCTGCGTAGCTCGGGCAGCGGCAGACGGAGCGGCGTGGAAGGCCGCGGCTCCTGCTTGGCGACAGGCGGGTATGGCTGGAAGAACGCGCTCATGTCGGCCAGGTCCGGAGCGGGGGAGAGCGGCTGCTCGGAGGAGGGCAGCATGGGCAGCTGGAAGTCGTCGTCCATGGGAATATAGGGGGCCAACATCTCCAGGTCCAAGTCCTCTGTGGTCTAGGGAAGCAGAAACAGGTGTGTAGGTCGTGTAGATCCACATGATACAGGCTGGAGGATCCGCTGGACTATGCATCACTCAGTCCGAACTGATTACGGAGATATGAAAGTCAACTTGTTTGTAAATCAGGGATAATTAATATTTATTCTGCGTTTGAGCCACGTACAGCTACTGCTTGTAGGTACCTGTGTAGTGAAAGGGGGGGTGGCTTGGGGGTCTTTGGCGAACAGTTTCTCTACCAGGTCGAGTTTAAACTCGACGTCGATGTCAGAGTCCACTGAGAAGCAGAACTGCAGCGGGCTGCTGGGCTGTGGGAAGGTGCAGAGAGATGGTCAGACACGGTGGATCAACAAGAGGTGGTTTAAATATCTTTGAGCAGCAATGGAAAAATACCGGCCCTGAGAGGTGAGCAAGCTTTGTGTTCCCGCACCTCTGAGCTGGTGTTCGAGCTGAGGCCTGACGACTCCAGCCCAGGAGTAACCAGAGCACAGGACACAGGGAAGGACAAGTCTTCAGGACATGACTCTAGTTTAGCCATGTCCCCCTCGCTGAGGATGGGGTCCAGGCTGACCCCCAGAGGTTGGGGCGAATCACTAGGGGAGAGCGGAGACAGAGGCGACTTCTCGTTGGAAGAAGGCAGCATGACATCATTGTAGACTGCAACTTGGTCCAAACCCTGCAGGATGGGTTCTGCAAAGAGGATTATCAGGATAGAGATGCTGAGAACGTCAGTGATCCGACGGACGAGCTCTACTTGGAAGTAACCAATTATCACTCAAAACCTAAAACCACATCTGAGTGGCTTGAAAGATCCATTAATGGTTTCATTGATCACCGGCCTATTTGCTAGAGTACAGGTAGATAATGGTGAGATGGGGGACTAACCAGGCATGCTGAAGTCCAGCTGGATGATGGTATCGCCGGCTGCGGGCGCCAGCTGGGTCAGGAACTCTGGTTCGCCCTTCAGTTGCTCATACAGGCTGTCCTTGACAGCAGTCTTCTCGTAGCTGATGAAGTGCTTCACTGTATCTGCCTCCGGACTCTCCAGCTTCTCCACCTCCTCAACTTCCTTCTCACCTTCCGTCTGTCGCAGAGAGAGCACCAGATCCTTCTCCTCCACCCCACTGCAGGGACCACAAAGCACACTTACCAAGTGACCTCAATGGCAGGCAGTCACAGACTAATCTCACCACAGACATAAGATGTGATCGACTCCCCAGTTGCCAGAGTACAAAAGAGGAAGGCTTTTTGGAGATCTTTACTGGGAATGGCAATCACCTCTTCTGATGTTTTAGTTATCAGTATCTGCTGTCACTTAAGGAATATCATCAATCCGACCTCTAAGCAGTAGAATTAGCAAATGTTGCTGAAAGATTTGTAATGAAGTTCCTTTGGGGTGTTGAAGGGTCACAGTAGCTACCTGAGCACATAGTTCACACATACGATGCACTGCGGTTGTGAGTTCTTGGTGTTGTAGATGACAGTGGCCTGGGTATCTACCCACACAAAGCCACCCTTCTTGGCCAGCATTCGGTACTGTCCAGTGGTGACCTGGCCCTTGGCAAATACTGAGGAGAAACGGAGACCAAAAGCCGAAGTCAGCACCAGACCCCCTTCCGCCTTCTACCAGGGACCAACCGAACACAGCGGCACACGGGCTCAGCCAACACGCTAATGCTTACGGTTGTGATGCGTCTTTGTGAGGTGGTCCGAGTCGAGAGCGTGGTAGTACTCGTATATAGAGCGGTCCAGCAACTCCTCTGGTTTGTAACCCAACAGCTCTGTGATCCTAAGGGGGAAAAGCCAGACAGAGGGTGCTGTCACTATCAGCAGTAATACTGGAAATTACTACCCATGAGTCACTTAGAAATAATGTTTCCTATCTGATGTAATGCAACTGCCTGGTGTTGGTGCAAGCAAGGGCTGGGGATAAATTGCACTCTTTTCCTTATTAGCTAACTGTTCCAGACGCGGTTCCCGGCGGCACTACTGCGTTCTGACCCCCAGGCCCACCTCTCATCGCAGTAGGAGAACTTCATGTCCAGGTTGTGCCGGCTCAGGAATGTCTTGCTGTCCAGAGGGACCTCGATGTTGGAGGGGTGAGGGATGGGCTCACAGATGAGCACCAGGTAGGGCACTGGTGGCTCTTTGTAGCCGCAGTCACTCTGCTCTTCCTCCCTACCGGGCAAGCGGACTTGTCCCATGCACTGCAGCACCTGGAGGGCAGCAGGGGGCGCCGTCAGCTGACTGCACTAGTGCAGAATTAGCATGCTAGGCCAGGAATCACAAATGCAAAACAGGGAAATCGACTAGTACTTCTATTCCTGCTTTCAGTACTTTCATGATAATACTTGGATTAGAAGTTGCTAATACAGGAAACATCTGTGAATGTGTCTGTATGAGTGTACATGTCTGCGTGCGTCACCAGCTGAAGAAGCTTGGGCTCACAGACGTCAAATCAGGACACAAAAAGGAAGAGCCTCACCTTCCACGTGGCTGACTTTATGTTGACAGTGCGCCCCCTGCTGGTGAGTGTACATTTCATGCGCAGGAAGAAGTGTCTCTCTGTGT